CGTTGGGGGGGCACGCCTTAAACCAACAGAAAACCATTTTTTTTTTTCCCCTTTCCCAAAAAGAAAACAAAAACTCCCCAAAAAAAGGGTAACAAAAAAAAACCCCCCAAATAATAAAAAAACAGCTTATTGAAACACTCCCAAAGAGTGAAAACCCCTTAAAAAAAACAGGCCTTTTTTCCAATAAAAAAAAAACAACGTGTATAGGGGAAAAAAAAAAAAATAAATATTTTTTTTTGGGGTTGGGACAAAAATTTATTTTATATTGGGTGAATTTTTTTTAAAGCAAAATAAAAAGAACCTTTATTTTTTCCTTTTCTGTCTTCCCCCCGTTAAAAATTCCCCCCTTAATTTTCCCCCCCCCCCCCCGCTATTTTTTAATTATTTTCTCTTAAAAAAATCACTTCCAAAAACCCAGGGGGGGGGGGTTTTGGGGCCCCCCCAACCCCCCAGCCGGCCTTCGTTGGTAGGGCCCCGCCGCAAAAAAATAAAAAAGGCCCGGCCCCCCTTCCCCCCGTTTTTGGGCCCCTAGGTTTTATTTTTCCCGTGGGCGGCCCCCATTTTTCCCCTTTCGGGTCCCCCCATATTTTCCCCCCCCCCCCCCCCTAACAACCGAAACCCAAGGGCGTCCCCCCCCCCCCAAAAAAAAACCGCCAATGGAGTTGGGTGGGGGGCGCTGGCCCCCATTTTACCAAAAATCTCCCTAACAGTTTAAATCAGGTTTTTACTGGTACCCCCCCCTACTTCCCCCCCACTCCCCCCCACACTATGCCCCCCAGGCCCCCCCCTAGAACCCAAAAAAAAAAACCCCAAAAAATCGTGAACAAAAAACCCGTCGGCGGAAAAAACCCGTCCCCCCACCCCCAAAATACCCTGGATTAGGTCCCCCCCCCCCCCCCCCCACCCAGATATAAGCCCCCCGCTTTGTTCACCACCCCCCCCCCCCCAAAAATTCTAACCCTCATTTTGGCCCCGAAAAGCTTTCTCCCCCCCCTTTCCGTTGCCCCCCAAATTCGAAACAAAATCCCATGTGACGTCCGGTCTAATATCTGAAAAAAACAAAAAAAAAAAAACAACCCCAGTTATTTTTATTTATTTATCCCCTTGGTTCCCCCCCGCTGGGATAAAAAAACAAGACACAATGAAGGGACCAATCCCAAAACCTTTTTCCCCCCCCCCCCCCCCCCACCCCCCCCCCCTCAAAAGAAGTTTGAAGGCATAAAAAAAGGAAAAAAAACACCAAAGCCGTGGGGGACCTCCGGGGGGGGAATGGTTTTTTTTTTTTTTATATGTTTTAATCCCCCCACCCAAGAAAAAAATAACCCCAGAAAACAAAGGTTGGGTGTTTATGTTGGGGGGTGGAAGCCCAAGCCCGCCTGAAAAAAGGAAAAAAAACAACCGTAAAAGCATAGAAAAATTTAAATTTGTCCCAACCCAAAAAACGATTAATCAAAACAATTTGCAAAAAGAGGAAAAAAAAAAAAGGGTTTTAAAAAAAAAGCTTTAAAATTGGGACAAAAAAAACCCGTGGGGAAAATTGAAGTGGGATCGCAAAGCAAGCCCAACAAAGCAAGTTTAATAAAAAAATAGCAAAAAAAAATTTTAAACGTCCACCCCACCGTAAAAAAAAGTCCCCCCACCCACCCCTTGGAAAGGTTAGGGGTTTTTTTTAGGAACCAAGATTTGGGACTTAATTACATTTAAAAACACGGGAACTATCGGCCCCATTTTTTTATTACACCGCACCCCGGGCCCCTATTTAAACCATAAGCCTTTGAAAAAAAAACCAAGCCATTTTACCAAAAAACCAGCCTTAAGCCCGGTTAACCAACCAACAGGTAATAAGTACTTCAAAGGCCCCACCCCTCTTATGGCCCCCCCTGGGTTTAGGGTGGTGGTGGGGTGGTGGGTTCCCGGTTTCCCCCCACTTTCCCCCTAATATCAAAAAAAAATTGCCAAAATAAAAATAAGTTTAAAAAAAAACAAAAAAAAATCCCATGGTACCCCCCCCCCCCTTTTTAAAACTGGGGAAAAACCATGGGAGGGGGGTTTCGGGGGGTGGGGGTTTTTAGTATTTTTTCCTAAAAAATCACCCCCGCATAAAAAAGTGGGTTGGGGGTTTGTTTATTTATTATATAGGGGCATTGGGGGGTTGTTATGATTTGGTTCCCCCCCCAAGAAAAGAACATTCAAACATTAAAATCCATTTTTTGCAAACTAAAAAACCGCCAAGTTCCCCCCCCTCCCCCCCAACAGAAGATGAAAATCCCCCATTGGGGGGTTTTTCCGAATAAAAAAAAAAGGGGTGCAAAACACCCCCAGTGTGTGTGTGGTTTTTCCCCCCCCTGCCTGCAAAAAAAAAAAACATCTGGGGGTATGAAAAAAATAACTACCTTTTGAAAAAAAACTTTTTTTTTTTCCTGGGTTTTTTTTTTAATTTTTTTTTTTTAGAGAATAGTACAAAAGGCCAAATATTTTCCCCCCAAATAAATATTCGAATAAAGAATTCAAATAATTATTGGAAATTTGAGTTAGTCCCTCCGCCTATTTTTTATTGGGAAGTGGGAAACAGGAATTTGTGTTTTCTGGTATCGACCCCTTTTTGGCCCCGGGGGTTATTTAAAGAAAAAAGAAAACCCCCATGGGGGGGCCCAAAACCAATTGATTAAAAAAAAGTTCAAAAAACAACCGTGGGAGCGGGGGTGTTGAAAAAAAGCGAGAAGAAGAAAAAAAGCGCCCACCCCCCCGCAAAAAACAACTAAAAAAACCGGGGAGAGTACCCCCCCCCCCCCCCCCCGCCCCCCGAGGTTTTCCCCCAGCCCCCCCTCCCTATATTTTAGTAAAACTTGGGTACGAAGTCACCCCCCTAAATATTTCCCCCTAGTCCAATTTAAACATGGTTTTTTTTTTGGGGGAATGAAAAAAATTTTTTTTTTTACAACATTAAAAAACAATTCCCCTGTTTTCCCCCCCCTGGAAAGGCCAAAACAGAGCCCTACACAAAACCCACTCCTCCATCCCTGCTCAAGATAAACCCCAAAGATAGCCCCCCCCAAAATGTGGTTGTTGTTTGAGGTTGGTTTTGGGGTATTGTTGAGGTTGGTAAAAAGCCCGTGGGGTTCCCCTGGCACCCCCCCCCCCCCATCGTGGTTTTTGGGCCTCGTAAAAAACGAGGGCCGCGGTAGTGGGTAAGGGGGTTGGGGGGGAGGAAAATGTATTTAAAATGTAAACCAGAATGTGCCACAAATATTTATTTGGTAAAAAAAAAAAAAATGGAAGGTTGGGGGGGCCCCCCCCCCCCCCCTTCCTCCCCCCCCTTTTAGCTGGTAAAACCACCCCGGGGTTAAATAAAATAAAAAAAAATAAAAAAAAAAAAAAAAAAATTTGGGCCCTTTGTTCCTATTCCCCCCCCCCCCCCCTTCTGAAAAAAATGGGGGTGGGCCCCACTCCCCCCCAGAAATCCCTTACAAACTTAAAGTGGGGGGGGGCTACAAACTCCCCCGCCCCACATTTGGGCCCGTGGTTTTTTAATTATTTGCTTTGCCCCGGTGGGTAAAAAAAAAAAAAAAACCCAGCCCCCCCTTAAAAACAAAACCCAAGAAGCCCCCCAAAAAAAACCCCAGTTACCTTCCCCTTGGTGTATGTCGGGGTACTGCCTTTGTGGGGGGGGAAACCAACACACCCCACTTAGCAAATACCAAACCTTTTTTGCAAAAAACAAAAAAATTCTTTTTTTTTAGAATAAACACCAACCAAACGCCCTTTTATTTAGGGCGGACAAAAATAGAGGGATGTTTTTGTCCCCCCAAAAAATAAAAAGAAGAAAATTATTTCCCGTATGCTGGGTGAAAAAAACATAAAGGGGCCCTTTGTATATTCCCCCCCCCCTAGCACCTTAAGGGCCCCCCCCCTTTTTTGTTTTTTTTTTTTTTTTCCCCCGTTTTTTATTCCTTTTTTATTTCCCCCCCCCTCCCCCCTTTTTTCCCCCGAAAACAAAAAAAGTTAAAAAAAACAAAACGGGTTTTATTGAATTTTTTTTTTAACAAAAACACACAGAAAAAAATTAGTTTTTTTCTGTAAAAACAGAAAAATAACAAAACATTTTCCCAAAATTTAATAACCTCACCCCAACCAACCCAAATACCCTTTTTTTTTTTTAACCGCCACGCAAAATAAAACCAATAAAAACCCCCTTGGAGGTTTTGTTTATTTGTTTTACGCCCACACACCAAAAAAAACACTGGGTTATACGCCAGAAGAAACAACACAAAAAAAAAAAATTACCCTGGGGTTTTATTTTTTTTTTTAACGCCCCACAACCAAAACAACCAAAAATAAAATTTAAATATTTTTGAAACAAAATTAAAATAATTTTAAGCCCCCTATCCCCAAATTAAAAAACATACATAAAAATTGAAAAATGGGTTCCCCCCCCCCCCATGGATTGTCCCTCCCCCCCCCCCCCCCATCCCCCTGGTACAACACAAAAAAATGGAGTGCCCCTTATGAAATTAAAAAAAAACCCCCCCCCAAAACAAATAAAAAAATTGGGAAATCAAAAAACAAAACAAACAAAAAAACCCCCCCCAATTGGGTTATTGTTTTTTGGGGGTTACCCCCCCCTCACTTTTTATTATATTTTTTACCCCCCCCCCATGGGTTTTTTTGAATTTTTTGTTTACCCCCTTCAGGAAGGATAAAAAGGCCCCCGGTTTATCCCTATTGGGTTAAAAAAAAGGCGCAAACCCCCCCAGGACGATATTTGGGGCTAAACTTGTTGGTGGTGGGGGGGGGGGGAGGAAATAAAAATGAAACCTTGTAAAATTGTATTTGTGGCTGTTGGGACAATAGGAAGGTCCCCCCCCCCCCCCCCCCCCCACACACCCCCACCAATGGTAAAATGGGGACCGTGTGGGTTTTACATGTGTTTTGGGGGGGAAGGAGCCCCCGTTCCCCCTGGGGGGTTGGTGGTGTGTTAGGTGGGGGGATTGTGGGGGGGGATGTTTTGGTGGGGATGGTTGGTGAAGGAAGCGTCCCCCGTGGGTTGTAGGTTGATGGGGGGTTGGGGTGGGGGGGTGGGGGGGGTGTGGAAGAAGCAGTTCCCCCCCCCTGTGTGTGTGGGGTGTGGGTTTGGTGGGATTTGGGGATAAGGAGCGTTTTTCCTTGTTGTTTTGTGGGGTAGTGGTGTGGGTGGGGTGGGTGGGGGTGTGGTGGAAGAAAAAAAAAGCGTCCCCCCCCCCCCCACCCCCCTCCCCTTGTGGAGGTTGGTTGGGGGGGTGGGGGGTTGGGTGTTGGGGGGAGGGGGGAGTGGGGGGGGGGTGGGGGTGGGATTGGTGTTGGGGTGGGGTTTTTGGTGTGGGTGTGGTGGGGATGGGGTGGGGTGTTGGGGTTGTGTGGGGGGGGGTGGGTGGTGGGGGTTTTTGGTGTATTTGGGTGGGGGTGGGGGGTGGCCCTTTTTGTCCAAACCGCCTGGGTGGGTTAATTTCCCCAATACACCCACTGAGAAAAATTCCCCCCCTCCAAATAAAAACCCATCCCACTGTCATAAAAAAATGTGGGGGGACCTTGGGGGTTTTTTTGTTAAAAAACACGTTGGGTTGGGGCCCCCGAACCCCCCAAACCCGGGAAACAAAAAACACCAAACCCACCCCCCTGGGTGGTTTTCCCCCAAGCCCCCCCTTAAATAAAAATCCAAAATAAATGGGGGTAAAAAAAAATTCCCCCCACCCCCCCCCCTATGTTTCCCCCCCCCCCCCATAAAACCCGGGTCACCCCTCCACCCCCCCCCCCCATAATGCACAATTCCCCACCCCCCCCCCCCCACCCCCCCCTTCTGTAAAAGAAACAAAACAATTGCAAAAAGGACCCCCCTTTTGGGAGGGGGATTTTTTAACTGATCCTGAAAAAAAAAATTGTGGGGGGGGTTTTTTAGTTTTTTTTATATGTAAGGTCCCCCGAAAAAAACCCAGGGGTGGGGGGTGGGGGGGAGGGTTATTTTTTTTTTTTTTGCGGGGGGGGAAAAAAAATTTATTACAAAAGGGAGGGGGTGGGGCCCCCCTCAACAAAACCAACCTGGGCCAAATATTTTATCCCCCAGTGCTCTCCAGCTAAGGGCCCCTTGGAAAGCCCAAAAATCACCAATAATGGGGACCAAGCAAAAAACAACAGAAAAAAAGGAAAGAAAAAAAAAAAAATCAAGGGGTTTGTCCCCCAAAGGCCCCCTAGAGAAAAAAAAAGGGCCAAAAAAGAGGGTGGTGGTATGTCCCCCCCCCCAATAAAAGGCCCCCCCTGGGGCCCAAAAAACAAAATCCCCATGGAGGGAGCCCCCCAACCGGAAAAATAACAAGGCCTTAACGGCATTTTTACCAAAACCGCCTACTTGGGGTTGAAGGTGGCGTGGACCTAAAACAAGTTTACAAAATGGTCCCTTTCAAAATTGGGGGTATATTATTTTATTATAAGAAAATATGGAAAAAAAAAAATTTGTTTTTTTTTACAAACCCAGTAGTATATTTTGGATTTTTGGTTTATAGGTTGGGGCCAAAAGCTTAAAATAGTCCAAAAGGAAAAAAAAACAAAAAAAAAAAAAGTCCCCCCCCCCCCCCCCCTAAATTTTGGATTATTTAAACAGGTCCCCCGAACCTTCCCCCAGACAAAATCAGGCTACGAAAAATAATAAATTTTTTTAATTTAAAATATGGACAAGAAAAAAGAAAAGAAGAAAACCCTTGTTAAAAAAACAAGTAAAAAAAAATAACAGAAAATGGAACAAAAACAAAAGAAAAAAAAAAAATCCAAAAAAAAACCAACCTTTTTTTTTTTTTTTTCCCCCTTCAAGAAAACACACCTCCCCGTGAAAAAAACAAGTGAACCGAAAAAAAAACCAAAAGGGGGCCCCCCCCCAAATTTAAAAGAAAAAATTATGGTTTTTTATATCCCATGCAGGAGCCCAAAAACAAAAAAAAAAGAAAGAAAAAAATATGGGGGGGAGGGCCGATAGTTAAAACAACCCAAGGCCCCCAAAGAGAAAACCAACCTTTCCTTGCCCTCTACTGTTTTTTTTTTCAATTGTCCCCCCCCCTGCCCCCACCATAAAAACAAAAAAAAATTGGGTCCCCCGTACATTTTGTATTTGAGGACCCTAGAAAAACACCATTGGAAAATAAAATTTTTTTTGAATAAAAAAAAAAAAAAAGTTGGCACCCGTTTACAAAAAAAAGGCCCCCAAGAAGCAAATAAAAAAAATGTGGGGGCCCCTTTTTTTTTTTTCCTAACCCCCCTGGGGGTGGGGGGAAAATCCCCCTTTTTAAAAAAAATAAAGGCCCAACCCGGTAAAAACCCATTCCAGATGTGGCATTTTGGGATCAGGGAAAAAATAAAGTGGGGGGGGAACAAAACCCCCGTGGAGCCAAAACTAAAAAAATTTTATTGGAAAGTTTTATTTTTATTATTTTTTTTTAAAAAGCCCTCCCCGGCGTAAACACAAAATTGGGGACACCTTTTTTTTAAAAGTATTTCCCCAAAAGCCTTAAAACACAGCCCAAAAACATAAACAAATAATTTTTCCCCCCAGTATGTTTTAAAAAAAAATCCCCCAAAGGGTGGGGGGGGGAAAGTATTTTATTTTTTTTGCCCAAAAGTAATGGTAATAGAACTGGATTGGGGGGGGCCCCCCCCCCCAGACAATTGGGCATTAAGCGAAAAAGGTCCCGCACCTGTTTGGGGGCAGGGCCCCCCAATTGTTTGGGCCCCCCCCCCCCCCCCAAAGGGTGGGGGTGGCCCACCGGCCTAATTTGTTTTATTACCACAAAGAAAAAAAGAAGCCCCCCCCCCAGGGCCACCTACAAAACCAAAGGGGTAAAAAGAAAAATGGATTTTACGGGTGTTTTTCCCAGTTATCCCCCCCCCTCCCCCCCTGCACCCCCCTCATCCCCCCCCCTTTAATGCCCCCCCGACAAGCCCCCCCTGGAAATCCCGGAAAAAAATTGGGCAAATAAAATACAAAAAAAAGTCCCTCCAGCCCCAAAAACAAAGGCCCTGTGGTTCCCCCCCCCCCCCCCCCCCCCCATTTAATTTTAATCCGGCCAATTTTGCCCCCATCCCAAAAGGGGAAAAAACAAAAAAAAAGAAAAAAAAATTTGGAGGACCCCCCCCCCCCCCCCCCCCCCCCCACCGGGATTTTGGGGGAATTTTTTTTTGTTTTTTTTCCCCCCCCCTCCACCAAAGCACAAAAAAAAAAAGTGGGCAAGTTTTCTGGAAGAAAAAACCCACCTTCGGAAAACTAAAAGGAAAGCCTACAAAACCCCCCCTTGGTAAATCAACGACCTTTTTAAAAAAAAACACCCCGGGGACCCACCCCAAAAATATGAAAAATTAAAGACCCCCCTCCATTGGAAAAAATGCAAAAAATTTAACAAAATTTAGGCCCCCCCCCCAAAAAAGAAAAAAAAAAAAAAAAATGGAAAAAGAAGAAAAGGTCCCCCCCCCACCCGGTTATAAAAATAAATTTTAAAACGAAGGCCCAAAAAACCCCCCCCGCAGGGAAAAACTGAAATAAAAAAATAAACAACATTTTAAGGGGAATATTTTTTCCCCATTTTTTTATTTTCCCTTTGTTCCCCGCATCCAAACCCCATTTTATTGAAACCCAAATGTTTGGAAAAATGTATTGATTGAAATTGGGCAGGTCAGGGGTTCCCCCCCCCCCCCCCAGGGGGGGGGGGCGGGGAAAAAAAAAATTAATGATTGCAAGGAACCAACACAAAATCAAAATACAAAAACAAAAGAAAAAAAAAAAAACCCTCCAATTCCTTTGGCCCCCCCCCCCCTCATAAAGTACATTCCCCGGCCCCATTAGAAAAGCCCTTTTCCAAGACGCCTAACAGTATATATTTCTTGAAAAAATTGTGGGGGAAACTTCCAAAAAAAAAAAAAAGGGAGGCAAACAATAATTTTATGGTTTGGGGGTTATTTGCAAAAAAATGGTAAAACCCCTTTAAATTTTAATTTTTAAAAAAAACCCCCCCCCTCCCAAAAACCGAAAACACAGGCCCCCCGGCCCCCCCCCCGTTTTTGGCCCCCCCGTTTTTTATTTTTTTTTATATATTGAGAAAAAGGGTTTTGTTTGGGGGGCAGACGTTACCCCCGCCCCATTTTGATTGGGTTATTCTTACCTGCCGCCCCCTGCGCCCCCCTAAAACAAGAAACCCCCCCCCTTTCCCGTGCCCAAAAGCCCCAAAGTTGGGAAAAAACCACTCCCCGGAAACCCCCACTGGCCTCCCTAACCCCTTCTTGGGGAAAACACTGAAGGAACCCCCGGTTTTTTAGAGCCCCAATGGCCAAAACACAATATATAAAAGGCCCACATTAAATGAAAGGTTATAAACCACATTGATCCCCCCACACCGGAAAACCCCCCCCCCCCTGAAAAAAAATAATTGGGCCCCCCCAAAAAATAACCCAAATTAAAAGTGAGCCAAAAAACGTCCCCCTCCCCTTTAAGGCCCCAAATATTAGGGTTTTTATTCCCCCCCCCCCCCCCCCCCCCCCCCCCACCACCCCCCCGAAAATACCCAGGCCCCCAAGTTTTCTGTTTATTTATTTTTGGGGAAAATCTCCTTTTGTTGTAGGGTCCCCACCCCCCCCCATCCCCATTGTTCCCAAATACCGACAATAAAGGGAAAAGGAAAAGGTGGATCAAGGTAGTTTATTTCCAAAAAAAAAGGAATTTGCCCAACGGAACACCCCAGCCCCCTTGTTTAAAAAACCTTTAAAAGAAAATACGACGGGGGGGATCAAACAAAAATCCAAATTTTCCCCTGAAGAAACCCACTATTGCCTTCGTGTGGTGAAAAAAAAACCCCCTGGTTAACCCCCCCAACATTTGAAAAAAAACAGAAAAAAAAAAGGGCTTTTAATTGTGGGGGTGGGGGTCCCACCAAATTTTATTCCCAACAAACGACCATATTTGAACATAAAACAATTTAAAATAAGGGGCAAAAAAAAGAAAGATTTCCCCCCCCCCCCCACCCGGAACAAAGTTGAATGGGGCACCCCCGTTTTGAATTTTAGATCTATTTTGAAACCCCCCTTTCCCAGAAAATATGATTTTTTTGCCCTTTTCCGAATGGGGAAAATGTAAGCCCCCATGGGGGGGGAAAAACAGGAACAAGAAAAAGGGCCCTGTATTTTCCCATCCCCCCCCTCCTTGGGACCTCCCCAAATTTAAACCCCAAATTTTAAAAAAAAACATCCCCCACCTTTTTTTTCCCCCCCTGCCCCCGGCACCCACCCCGGCGAAATCCTAAAAACAAAGAACCAACCCCAACCAATCCAGGGATCAAAGAAAAAAAAAACCCCCCCCCCCCCCCACCCCTTCCCCCCCCCTAAAAAAAACCGCCCCAAAAGGTAGCCCACACCCAAACCAAAAGAAAATAAATTGTGGGATTTTGCGGTGGGCAAAATCCCCCCCAGAGAATGCCACTTAACCCTCAATACCCCAAACTTAGGAAAGCCCCGCAACATTAAAGACTAACTTATTGGTTCAAAAAAACAGTTTGTTATAATAATTTTAAGATGTCTTCCCAAAAAAATTATTGGAAAAAAAAAAAAAAATAAAGTGAAAAGGTAAAATGGAGATGGACCCCCCCCCCCCCCCCCCCCCCCCCCCCCCAAACCCCCCCTCCTATATTTTTTTTTGGGGACCAACCTTCCTCCCCCCGCCCCCCCATGAAACCCCCAATTTTTCCCTCATTTCCCCAAAATACCCCAGGCCCCCAAAATATATAAAAAAAAAACAGAACCTAACCAAGAGGGAACTAACCTAATGGGGAGCCCCTTGGTCCCAAAAAAAAATCATTCCCAAAGGGGGTTGGGGGGGGGGGGTTTGAAATTGGGCCCCCCCAAGGGGGAAGCCCACGGGTGAAAAAAGAGTGGGGACGTGGAAAAAAATAAAAAAATTTTCGAAGGAAAAAGAAAAAGGCCCCTCCCGACCAGAAATACAAAAAATTGGAAAAAAGCCCTGAAGCAATAAGGTAGAAATTTCCCCCCCCCTTTGAAATAAATTTAATTAAAACAAATTGTAGAAATTGGTATGATAAAAAAAATTGATGTTTTTTTATTTTTTTTTTTTTTTCCCCCCCTAACCAAGGGCCCCGCCCCACTTATTTAAAAAAAAAAACAAAACAAACAAGCTTGTTTTTTAAGTGTAAAAGTTATTATTCCCCCTTGTTTTGCCCCGACCCAAGAGGGACAAAAGGCAAAAGTAAGAGAACCCTCCCCCCCCCATCCCCCAACAATAAAAACGGAAAAACCCCACCGGGCACCCCCCCCCCCCCCACCCCCACGTTAAAAAAGAAAAAAACCGTTCCCAACGGCCCCCGGATAAAAAACAAACCCCCCCATTCCCCAACCCCCAATTTTCACCCCCCCCCCCCCCTATCCAGGAAAAAAAAAAAAAAAATAAAAAATATTTGCAACCCCCCCAAAGTGGGGTAGTTGGGGGGCAAGATGCCCCCCCCCCTTTTTCCCCCCCTGGGTTAGTGGGGTAACCAGGGTGGGGGGGGAAGAGTTCAAACAGCCCCCAGGCCCTGGCCTTATGGGTTCCCCCCCCCCCCCCCCCCCCCACACCCCCCCACCCCCCACCCCCCCCCCCCCTTCCAACCCCCCCCTGGGGGAAAAAAAAAAAAGATGGGTTAAAAAAAATTTTGCTAAATAATAAAAAAAGTTTTTTTTTATTTATCTCCCCTCCCTAAGAAATAAAATAAATAACGGTGGGGGGTTTACAAAAAAAAAAAAAAGAAAAAGCCTCCCAATGGGGGGGGGTTCCCCCCCCCCCCCCCCCCCCCCCCCCCCCCCCCCTGCAATTCCCACACTGAAAGGGTTGTGAAAAAATGCTGGGTTGGGAAAAAGGAAAAAAAAAAACAAAGGAACCCATGGGAAAACACCCCTTTTCCCCAAAAATACAGAAACACCCCATTGGAAAACTAAAAACAAAGGGTTTACCCCCCACTCCCCCCCTGGGAAAGACCCCCCACCCCCCCCACCCCCCCCCTTCCATTGGCCCAGGGGGCCCCCCCCCCCCCCACCCCCCCCCCTGGCAAATAAATTTATAAATGGGCCCCCCCCCTCCCCTAAACCAGAAACAAAATGAACCACCCTTTTTTAAGAAACAGCCCGGGGAAAAACCCCACCATTTGGGGATAGGGTGGGGGGCCCCAACTCATAAATATTTTAAAAAAATATTGTTCCTAAAATGTGTTCCCCAGAAAAAAAATAGAATTACCAACCTCTGCAAAATTTCCGGAAAAAAACCAAAAATTCCCCCCGAATATCAAAAAATTAAAACATTACCCCCCCCCCCCCGTTAAAAATAAGTGATTTATAGATATGGTTGTGGGTTTTTTTTCTAATTTGGACTGGTTATTGTTATATATTTAATAATTTATTTTTGGTAAAATTACCAATCCTTGTCCCCCTTCTCGAAAACCAAACAACACAACGGAGGAACAGGGGAGGAAAATAAAAAAAAGAAAGGGAGAAGGTGCTATGTATTAAAAATTTTAAACCAAAAAAACCCCAGTTACCAAAATAAGAAAACCACACCCCCCCACAAAAAAAAACTTTTTAAAATTTTAAAGGCTATATTTTAATTTTTAAGAAGTTTTTATTTTGTATTTTTATTAATCGCCCCGAAACGAAAATTTGCAGTGTGGATTTCCCCACCTAAAAAAAAATTGATTTAGATTTTTTTTGAAACCATTTGTAAAAAAAATTTATTAAAATGCATAACCTTATTCCCCCAAAAATGTGTTCCCCCCCCCCCCCGAAAAAAAGTTCCCACCACACCCAATAAAGGATCCCCCCCCAGCCCCCAGGGTGAGGGGGCAAATTATTTAAATTGCAGGGACCCACCCCCAGGCCACCAAGTGGGGAAGACCTTTTGTATTTCTCCCCCCCCCCACCCCCCCCAGGGAAACCCCCCTATTTTTTTTTCCAGTTCTTGGGTTTTAAATAATTCAAAAAAAAAAGGTTTGGGGGGTCCCCCACCCCCAATGGGGTCCCACCCCCCCCCCCCCCCCCCCCCCCCCCCCCCACCACCCCCCCCCCCACCCCCCTTTTCCCCCCCCCTTCGCACCCCCCCCCACCAGCCCTATGCCCCCCCACCTCAAAAGAAAAAACAAGTGCCCCCAGAAACAAAATACCCCCCGATGGCGTTTTTTTCTTTTACACCACCCGTTTTTTCCCCCCTTAAGGGGAACGAAAAAAAAAGAAAAAAAAATTATATAGAAATAAATAGTAAATAAAAAAGCCTCTAAATAACCCCACCTCCCACCCCCCAGGGTATAGGAAGTACCAAGGCCCCCCTGCCTGGGCCCCCTTTTTTTTTATATTTTAGTAATTTAATCCCCCTAATCCCCTGGTATTTAACAAACTTTTTTTAACCAGAAAAAAATAGGGCCCAAAACTAAGCCCCACCAAACCATGGGTTGGCCATCCCCCTGGAAAATTGAAAAAAAAGGGGGTTTCTGATATTTTTTTTATTATATTAGAAGGAATGTTAACCCCCCCTCCGCCCCCTTGAAATAAAAATCCATATATCCATATTAATGAAATAAAGTAGGGGGAAAAACTAACTTAAGAAATTTACAAAGCTGTTGAATTTTTTGAGCTAACTTTTTCCCCAGTCAATTAGTAGTAGATGTTATTGGAGTTGTCAGTAGATTTCTACCCTTTACCCCACATTTGTCAAATTTTCAATTCATGTACCTGCGATTACTTTTCTTGACTTAAGTTACAACATTTTCCTATCAAGCATGCATATAACACTGTTGCTACATTTATACCTATGTCCTGTCTCTCCATTCATGTTGTTCGCGTGATTGTGAATTTGATAAGCCTGCACAAAAAGATAATATTATTCCTTTTTTATTTAAAGTTTTTGCTGTAATGTGATATCTTGTTTTGTATTCGATTCACAGGGAGAGAATGAACCTAAAAGCCCCCATCTACTTTTCCACTGGTCTAACAGAGAAAGCAAACCACTACTACAAACTGTTTATCACATGGACCAACCAAAAAATCAGAAAAACATTTGTACAGAGAAATATGTTTGAGTTTAAACATATAAAACCATTCGACCGCTCCTATGCTGACAACCCTGGTCCCATGGTAAGAAATGCAGAAGGCTTTTTTACCTGTGTAAAAGTGGCAGTAAATTAGACAGATATATATTTGTTTTAGGTTGTGTTTGCAACACCAGGAATGCTGCACGCTGGACAATCCCTGCAAATCTTCAAGAAATGGGCTGGAAATGAGAAAAATATGGTATGTTTTCACTTTATCAGTTTTTTCAAATAGAAAAGAGAGCCATCCCCCATTTGCGGGTGACACGGTGTCTGAGGGGATAGCTCGCTTCTCATCAAGAAGGTCCTGGGTTCGAACCTTTTGTGAGTGCAGTTTGCATGTTCTCCCTGTGTCTGCGTAGGTTTCTTCTGGGTTTCCCCTACCCCTAAAAACATGAACAATAGGTCTGGCATTTGCCTTCTGTAATATCATCTTGCTCCCATCTTTGTGTTGAAGTGTAAAGCTCTTTGTGCCTGGTCTGTGAAAGGTGCTATATAAATAAAGATTACTTACTACTAGCCAATCAGCTCAAATAGTGGCTTGCAAAAGATGTTTTCTAATATTAGTTAATACATTCCCAAACATTGACTTTTGCATGTAATATTTCCATCCATCCATCCATCCATTTTCTTCCCCTTAATCCATTTCTGGGTCGGGGGGGGTGGCAGTCAGAGCTGCACCCAGTCCACAGAGCACCAGCCCCTCACTGATCCTCCTGCAGGTGGTGAGTCCACAGGAGCTGAGATCTTTCAGTGGGGGCTTTGGGCAAAGTAGGGTTAAGTGTCTTGCCCAAGGACACAACAACAGCAGTCATCAGTGGGAGTCGTGAAGTAGGTCTTACGGTGGGCTCGAACCCACGACCTTCAGGCTCAAAGGCCAATGCTCTACCAACTGAGCTACTGTCGCCCTATGTAATATGTAGCATGTAATATTTATGTAAGAAAAAGGTTTGTTACCACAACTTTATCAAAAGGTCAAATCAGAAAGTGTATTGTATGTACTGCTTTTACAATAATATCATTTAACATTGAACATTGAAATAGCAGAGATTAACAACTATTTGTCAATGAGTTGATTAAATTCTTCTATTGATGAATTTTAAACTGAATGAATTGTTTATAATTGTGTTACGAGACGACTTCCCCTGGATATATATTTATTCAATTCGTTTTTCAAATAATTTTGATAATGTGTTATGCTCAAATATTTGCCACAGGTGATCATGCCGGGCTACTGTGTCCAAGGAACAATTGGTCACAAAATTCTAAATGGACAGAGAAAGCTGGAAATGGAGGGGAGATCAACGGTAACCGACAGTTGTTTTTCTTAGAAATGTATTGCTGTGTGTATTTATATTGAATTAAAACATGTGATTAAATGTTCCTTTTGAATGTGCACGTTTGGTCCGTCCAGCTGGATGTGAAGCTGCAGGTGGAGTACATGTCTTTCAGCGCTCACGCAGACGCTAAAGGAATCATGCAGCTCATCCGCATGGCCGAGCCGCGGAACATGCTGCTGGTGCACGGAGAGGCCGCCAAGATGGAGTTCCTCAAAGGCAAAATCGAGCAGGAGTTTAGTAAGTGCATGACTGCTTTGTTTACAATATCTTTAGGGCTGTAACGATTAACTGATTTATTGCAAAATCAACAACTATTTACCAGTGCCAGAAATATCCCTCCACTGCCAATTTGTGATTTACTGTATATACCGTGGGGCAAAAAAGTATTTAGTCAGCCACAAATGGTACAAGTTCTCCCACTTAAAAAGATGAAGGAGGCCTGTATTATGAGAGACAGAATGAGGAAAAAAAATGTGTATTGTATCCGTAAATTATGAGAATTATGAGAACTTGCAAAATTCATGGCTGGCTAAATACTTTTTTGCCTCACTGTAGATCTTAATACACATTGGACTGCTCTTCTGAAACCATTTTTTTTAGCTGTCTTGAGTGCCCAGAACTCTATACAATACAGGTCATTTATGTATCGTCCTGTTTTAAAGGTATAAACTGTTACATGCCGGCGAATGGGGAAACAACCACAGTGACGACAAACCCCAGTGTTCCAGTGGACATCTCGTTGAATCTGCTCAAGAGGGAGATGGCTTTTGGAGGTGCAGATTATTTTTCCCTATTTCACAAAACAAAATTGTATTTTCTAAACCAGACACTCACTGCTTTCAGTTTGGGCTGGATTTTAAATACTTATTTGTTGCACGCGTAAACCTTCTCCGTTGTATTCTGCACCATTTTATTTCAAAAACGAGGAAGATTAAAGCCAAAGAACAACATGGTTTGTGAAGCCACCTCCCTCACATTTATACTTTCTTTTTTGTTTCCTTTTTTCAGGACCATAATGCAGTCAAAGTGATAAAACATGCCATTATAATAGTCTTATTTTGTTGGCTAAAAAGTGAATTACTAAGGCTGTAAATGCTTTTATTTCTTATAGTAACATTTTGAAATCGTGAATAACAGAAAACCAATTTTAAAAGCCTAACACAACAGAACATACAATCAGAAAAAACCAAACATTGTGAAATTATTTGATTTAAAATCCCTCTCTTCACGGCTGACAGAAAGGTGAGGAATTAGAACTGTCGCCATATAATGTTAATTCTCTTGAATGGATTTCATTTACATTACACTGTACAACTCTTTAATGTCATGTGTTGAATGATGTGCCATGTTGACATTTACCTCACCCCACCGTACATCTTTTCATTTGCATCTTACAATTTGTGCTTTTAAGGCCCACTGCCCGACTTGAAAAAACCCCGTACGATGCATGGAACCCTGATAATGAAAGAAAATGTAAGTTACATCTTGAATTTTAATAACATTTTGACATCACATTATTGTAGGTTGATGGCTACAGAACACTTTTATTAAAGGGTAAAGGGTTTGCACTGGTTTTGTTGGTTTCAGAGTTTGAAGCTGGTGTCGTCGGAGCAGGCGTTGAAGGAGCTGGGTCTGAACGAGCATCAGTTACGCTTCACCTGCAGAGTCCAGCTCCAGGACCCCCACAGCGAGGCCGACACGCTGCACCGGGTCTACATGCACATCAAGAGGTCTGAGAGGGGAGAACAGATAAAATAATACATTCAGAGCAGGAGGCCCTCTGTAATTGTTTTGTTTGGAAATCATTTTATTTATGTTTTTAAAGAGCTTTTAGACCTTGCTTAAAACCTCTGACCTGGTCTTTTTGCCAAGGGCCACAAGATTCATGAGTTTCAGCTTGAGGACATTTTTCCCTTTCAAGAGATATTATAATAATATTTAGTCTGAACCATTTGCAACATTGAAACAGGGCCTCAGGCATGTGTCTATCCGGTCATTCAGAAGGATGCTCTGCTCCGATTTCAAAACCCCCAGTGATCACAGGTCAAGTTGGCACTGAATAATTAGTCCTCACAAGTGCTACTATTGAATCCACTGCTGGAATAGACTGCCGGAGGCAAGAATGTCACTTTCTCTCTCTCCAACCACCCCTTCTATTCACACACATATCAGAGTCATACATTGGCCAAAAAATCATGCTTTGTTTGTGTTTTCAGTGCATTAAAAGGCTATAGTGTCCAGCACCTCCCTGACACAGTGATGGTCGAGTCCATCGTCATTAAAGTCTCGTCCTCAGCAGAGGACTCAAGCTCAAAGGTCCTGCTGCTGTCATGGAGCTACCAGGTATTGTAATTGAATGTTTTCTACAAAACCCCCAAAAAATGAAAACAAATTGCATCATTGAGAACCGATTCGTGGTAACATGTCCAAATTCAAATGTGCAGAAATAGATTTACAACGCTGAATCTGCTGTCGTTGTTTTAAAAGTATGTTCTGTCAACAACGCAATTATTGTATTTGTGAATTAACATTTGCTATAGTTTTATTCTCTTGATAAATAAGCCACCACAAATATTATATCCGTACCATTTAACAAATCTTCTTACTTACACCAGTAATTACAACCATAGAAAACCCCTCCACCAATGTAATCCCACCTTTTACAGTAACAGTAACTTGCCCTCATTAAAACCAAAAGGGTTTGTGTTGTGAGTCACACTGCAAAAACCATGGTCTGTACAGTTAAGCAGCAAACCCACACAGATCGTGTGGGTGAAGATTTAGCGATAGATATGGGGCACATCTATGTTCAAACCACAGAACATTCCTTTGCTCAATTTCCACGGAAAAAAAACATGCGTGTTGTCTCTCGATTTAGTTTCTGTGATTTAGTTTCTGTGATTTAGTTTCTGTGATACTGTGCCATTGGCAGTGACACCTTCTAGAAAAGAAGAGAGATATTCATACTTAGTTTACATTCACTTGAATTATAGAAATTAATTAAATATAAAGCAACTGTGGCTCGACTTTACGGACAGGAAAAATACAATATATACAATATATCCAGAAGACTGTTTTCTAATTTGACATATTTTACATTACTATAAAAATAACATAATATCCAGAAAGCTTAACAATCTTCCACTTTATTGTGTTATGGCAGTGTCTCCCAAAGTGGGGTCCGCGGCCCCCTGGTGGGCCGCGAGGGTACTGCAGGGGGGCCGCGGGAGGTCATAAAAAAAATAAAATAATTATTTAATGTTAAATTTATAATGTTTTGTTTGTAATATTAAAATATTTGTGTTCATTATTTGACTTGAATAATCCACTGTAATCATTTTTGTATTACAATGTTTGTAGCAGAGGCTATTTCCCCAAAATAAAATAACCAGAAGAGCCTGTTCTTAATGTTGTCTTCTTGGTTATTATTTTGGGGGGCCACGCAGACCCGTCAGATTTTTAAGGGGGCCTCGGTGTTACTGAGTTTGGGAATGGCTGTGTTATGGTAAATGATGTACTTGTATACATTGCTGTATATATTACTGATAATATAAATAGATTCTTTCTTGTTTGTTGTTTATTTTCCTTTCAGGATGAGGATCTTGGCAGTTTCCTTTCAAGTTTACTGAAAAAAGGACTTCCATCAGTTTGTTAAACAAACTCCAAGGTTTCAAACAAAAATTACAATGCAAAGATTGTTGTCAAAACAGCCTTCAAACGCATGACTCCTTTTCATAATGACTGATTTTTATTGCATGAGTTGTATTTTACTGATACATGAACAATAAACAAATTGTACAAAGCCAAATCCAATAAACTGTTTTTCTAGACACAAGTAGTTGCCTGGGGTATTTGGTGTGAAAAGTTGCTGTGTTGCCATGGCTATTATATAGTCCCCCCTATTTCCTGTTATTTTTTTGTTGGGAGCCAATTGCAGTGTCCAGTGGTGATGTAGTACAGAAAAGGGTCCAAACAAGTGTTCAAAATTGCTAGAGCAATGGTCACCCTTCTTGCAACGTATATGAAGTTTATAGCGGAGCAATTTTCTATCACTTGAATGTGTCCTAAAACATGCAGTAGATAAACCAAATGATAGGGCAGAAAGCAGAGCACAGTAATAGCAAGAATTGCATAGATTACCCAAACTGCTTTTTGCGCCATTTTTGTTTTTATCCTTGAAATTCGTCTTGCCGCCATCGGATAGCAAAACAATATGATTATGGAAGGTGTCAGAGACCCAAAAACCAGGCAAAATGTGCTAAATGTTCTCAAACGTGTATTCCATTCTCTTTGATCGAAGTTTTCAAAGCAGCTGTAGCTTCCTGATTCTCTGAGCTTTGTTTTCAATGGACCCATGTGCACAAAGACAAGCATTGCTGCACAACCCACACACCAAAGTGAAACACTGGCAACAATAGCGCACCAAACTTTGCTAAATCTTAGATATGCAAGTGGATGAACAGTAGCCATGTAGCGGTCCACGCATATACAAGTCATGAAGCAGATGTTCATGTACATGCCGGCATGGAACAAAATGCCAGTCATTATGCACGCTGTGTCGCCAAACATCCAGTCGTTTTGGTGCAGATGGTAGTGGATCCGAAATGGCAGCGTGCACAAGATCATAATGTCTGCCATGGCTAAGTTTGTGATGTAAATACTGAATGCTGAGCGAGAAGTTATCTTGAAGGTGAAGTAAAACAGGGCTGCAATATTTCCAGGCAAACCAATGGCCAGTGCAATGATAGAAACTGGTGGAAACATGTAGTACTGGTAGTTTTGGTTGTCCGGGGAGTGGACGCTGCAGTTGGTGCCCGTCATGCTCATATATAACCTCAATTAATCCAAAAGGACTTTCAAAATGAGTTTGAAGATTTGTAGCAGTGAGGTTTTTAAAAAATCTGGTATCTGGACAGGGAACCTGCAAACAACAAGCAACAATGCTCAAATTTTAGAATTTCAAATATTCACTTCACACATGAAAGCGGGCGACCCCACTCCCATGTGTGGAGTGAGAGGACAAATGCCCACAGCAACTGTAAAAGGCTTTGTGACTCTGCTCTGTTTAAAGGCACAATAATACAGATTACTCACTTAAGTATCTTACTTACTATTCCTAAATTCTTGTCTACAAAGGATTATTAAAAAGAAACCACATACAAACGCTCTTTTGAATTTTGACATTCATGAAGTATCCGTATTATTGTACTTTTAATAATCAACACTATATTGTATCAGACAAGACTTACGTATGTGTAAGACTAATTCAGATAATTGTAATCCTTAACCGAGTTGTGTACAGTGGAGTTTATTTATAACGTAAGACAAAAGTTCATGGAAACAGCAGATATAAATACAAAACATTTTTTACAGATTAATACAATATTTTGTATTTCCAAGATATTTGGACATGATAGTTATATTTTCTATTTAGTATATGATCATTTAACTCCTTTTTTTCCCTTAAGATGAAGCCAAATTCAAATAACTATAAAACAATTCCTTCACTTACCTCGTTACACGGTGGAAAGAAAGTGACAAAACCCACTGTCTGCAAAGAGTCATTTGCAGGGGTGTACAAGATTACATTGTGGTTTGTATTGTTTCCTGTGTGTGTTCAGAAAAAGGTTTTGGCTGCTCAATGACAACGGTTCATAATTCACCTCAAAATGATTAACACTTGTAATTGATTACGCTGTCCCTTTTGTTTTTTCCAGACGATCCAATGATGAATTTAATCTCATGCAGGGCGGTCACTTCAATGTTAATTACATTTATTTGTATAATTGATAAGTTGTGAATATATTTATTATATTCCAGTTTTATTGCAGACCATCCTCATATTACCTCGCTTTTTACTGGTACCACATGAACATTGTTGAAATTTACATTTCCACAGAATAATTACCTTTTTTACAGTAATCACATGTGTATTAATGTGGTATAGAATAAAAGGCATGTATTTTTAAGTCTCACTAAAGGCATTTATTTAAAGTCTCACCACGGCACGGTGGCTGAGTGGATAGCACTCTCGCCTCTCAGCAAGAAGGTCCTGGGTTCGAATCCCGGCCGGACCAGGGCCTTTCTGAGTGGAGTTTGCATGTTCTCCCCGTGTCTGCGTAGGTTTCCTCCGGGTACTCCGGTTTCCCCTACCACTAAAAATATGTACAATAGGTCTGGCATGCGCTTCCTGTTCGGCGACCCCGCTCCCATCTCTGTGTGGAGTGAGAGGACAAATGCCCAAAAATAACAATTGTAAACCGCTTTGTGACTCTGGTCTGTGAAAGGCGGTATATAAATAAAGCTTACTTACCACACAGCAATGTTTTAACAACCTTAGTGCTTATTATTACCAATAACCTTGTACTTAAATACAATTATGTGGTGTTAGTCATGAACGATTTACCTAATTGTCACACTTAAAGATAGGATATTGAGTACTGATATGTAATACGCTATCTTCATCTTAATATTATCATTATCATTTACTTGTAAGAGCCTTGGGAGTCACTACTTGACTGGGTGAGAGGCGAAACATACATGCATGTGAAAACCTATAAAATCATTCTGTTATGAGAGCAAGGAATGGAGTCTAATACATTGTGATTTGAAAATTAGGTACCTACGATTTATTATCATTATTATGAATCTTTATTCCCTGGTTCGAATCCCAGTCGGACCAGAGTGGAGTTTGCATGTCCTCCCCGTGTCTGCGTAGGTTTCCTCCGGGTACTCCGGTTTCCCCTACCACTAAAAACATGCACAATAGGTCTGGCATGCGCCTCCTGTATACTGGCGACCCCGCTCCCATCTCTGTGTGGAGTGAGAGGACAAGTGCCCAAAAAATAACAATTGTAAACCGCTTTGTGACTCTGGTCTGTGAAAGGCGGTATATAAATAAAGATTATTTACTTACTTACTTACTTATTTCAGACTCAAATTCAAGGGGTCCATATTTTCAAAGAATAGGAATATTGGTCAACAAGTAGGACACCTCTACACCCTAGGGCAGTTGCAGGCGAGTTCTCTGCTGCTCTGAACAAATTCTTGTCCATAAAAATATTAATTATAATTATGTATATTTGATTGTTATTTTTTTCTTATAATTTTTTCGTTGAATTATATAAGAATGAATATCTTCGTCATCGTTTATTTTGCAAACCTTTAAGCGGAAGTAAAGGTTCCAGGTGCTTGCGGTTTGGTTAACAATTTCACACTTTCAGACGCACGTGTGATTATTATAGATCCATGCGTGTGACGCTGTTGATTTCTCTCAAACGAGGTTTGGTTTTCTTGTTTATGCTTTCAGAAGCTTCCAAAACACGTCAGTGTGACCTATAGGTTTGCTCTGTCAGTTTTTAGAGTAATGACAAGGGTTGTGGTTGACTCGCAGTGTGAACGTAACTGAATCGATAAATCTAACATGCTGCAGCCTCAAACGTCTAAAGACGACGCGGAAGTTGGTGAAAAGTGTTACATTTGCCTCGGTCCATTTGAAGAACAATCTGTGGGCTCTCTTGAGAAATGTCAACATCAATTTTGCTTGGAGTGTATCGTCCAGTGGTCCAAGGTATGTCATTGTATGCATTATGTATCCACCATTGTAATTTCAATAAATCCACTGGGTTCTGTTTGCCAACGACGTTTTGAGATGTGTGTGTGTGTGTGTTTTTTTTTTGGAATGTTTAACTAATACTTTAAATTCCTGTTTGTATGTAACTCTAATATCAGTCATTGGCTGATATACTGGCTTCAGAAACTCATGTCCTATGTTCTGTACATAAGCAGTGATTCTGTATACATCTGTTATGATTATATACAATAAGTGACACCATAATTTTGGACTGGATATATTCAGGTATTGTTTTGTCAAATTACAATAATCCAAATTGCCATTTTGGTTTATTTGAACAGACTTCCAACACTTGCCCTGTGGATCGAACTGCTTTTACTGTGATCCAGCAGAGAAGACGGATTGGAGAAGCCGTTCGAAAGAAGGTGACTCTTAATTCTAATGGGTGTTACTGATTTCAGGGTCGCCCCAGAGGCGTGAAGCACAAACGTCCTTGACATGCAAGTCAAAGTCTCCAACCCAGGAGTCAAAGTCAAGTCCTAGTCTCTGGACGCGCAAGCTTGATAATGTGAAGTAACTTATTGGATTAATACACACTTTTTTAGTGACTTCTTTTCTTTGCTCCCTCTTGCGATTAATCAAAACAAGGAGCGAGGCTCCTATCCACTTAACCTGTGACTTTGTTGCTCTGCTTTTACAGTCCCCATTAGCAATATCCTAAAATATAGCACACGCTTCATTAATTGTTTAAAGAAAAAATGTATAACTCAACATAAAATTATGAAAAATGCTTCCTCACATTTTATATTGCGTTTTAAATATTGACATCAATACAGACTATTGTCTAAAAAAGACCTGGACGTGTCTCAAGAGAAATGAGTTTGCTATATTTCAAATATGCATCAAGACACATTTCAAAAGAGTGATTAAATAGATATTATTAGATATCAAATCTAATACAACAATATTTGTATATGTATTTTTTTTTTTTTATTATTTTACTTTGTCTTGCATGTATTTGAACAGATACTCCTAATAGATAAATAGATAAAAAACATTTTATAAATATAAATACATATTGCAATATAAAATAATTAATATTTGGTTTCAGCTATTGATATTCATTGAACAATATAGTACTCGTCATGATGGCAATAACTTAGTTCCATGTACATTCTCATTAAGGCCGTGAAAATGAAATTCGATATGAAATAATAAATTGTGTGTGTATATGTTGCTAACGGGGTTAAGCTAGCAGCTCTGTGTGTAAAGTTCTTCTCCATGAATGCAGCTCGGCAGCGCCCAAGAACTTCCAGAAAATTAATATAACAGCAGTATGTGTTCAGAGCTGCGCCCGGCAGCGGCATGGGTGTATTTTAATATTACGTAAAAACAGTGAAAAAAATCCGCACAGCTATGTAGCTCCCAATAAGTGTATTTTATTTACACACCAAAAACTTTACGTTTCGGGCTGAGGCCCTTCGTCAGACATAAAATCCAGACACACCTGGTAGCAATTTTAAAGATCCAGTCACGTGAGCAAGGACTGTCACGTGACTGGTCCTAAATACACAGAAGATATACAATACATCAAAAAATATGCAAAATATGTACATACATGCACACGTAGGTATACACCCATACACAAACGCATTTACAAAAATATGCATGTGTATAAATATACATACACATGTAAAAATAAATATTTGAAACTCATAACTTTTACCAGTATATGAATATAACACAATGATACTACGATCAAACAAAGACAATTTTTGTTTTCTTCTACAGATCAAAGTGAAACTCCCAAAACAACTTGAATATGAAGTTGGCCTCAATCAGCGTAAGAATTATAATACAATGTTTTTTTCAAATTGTGTGAAGTGTCTTCTTGTACACAGATCCCTCTGGAGCTCAGTCGTGTCAAATTTGGAGTCATTATTTCACATTTAGGACCCCTTTTGGTTCTAAAAATACTTTGGGTAACTTAAGGATCCTTAGAAATAATGGGACTTATTTTCGATTTTGTGTTTACCTTTCCAATATATTACATTCATGCTATCCATCCATCCATCCATTTTCTTCCCCTTAATCCATTTCTGGGTCGGGGGGGTGGCCAAGATGCCACCCAGTACACAGAGCACCAGCCCCTCACTGATCCTCCTGCAGGTGGTGAGTCCACAGAAGCTTAGATCTTTCAGTGGGAGCTTCAGGCAAAGTGGGGTTAAGTGTCTTGCCCAAGGACACAACGACAGCCGTCATCAGTGGGAGTCGTGAAGTAGGTCTCATGGTGGGCTCGAACCCACAACCTTCAGGCTCAAAGGCCAATGCTCTACCAACTGAGCTACTGTCGCCCCATGCTAATTATTTTTAAATGTGGTCCCCTGTGTCTCATCAGCATGTGTGTCCTGTGTGTAGTGAGCTTGTAAATAGAGGGAAAAATGATCATAAATCTGCGTATTTACATCACAATGTTTTTATCTTCTTAATTTCAGTCCCTGTGTTTCTGCCGTATCAGTATGAACCTCACAGTGACCCAGAAAGTCAATTTTCTCACGAACCGGAGAGGGAATCCAGACTTTCACAAGATGCCTCTGTCTGGTATATCAAAGTAATGCAAAGCACCGCTTCACACTTTTTTCTTTTCCACAAAAAATGTCTGATTCCAGGTGTAGATGTGGACATTGCCGTACTATGCCAACAGAAGATGAAAATATTTGCTGCCAAGAGATCCCTAAGTTTATTTTACTTTGATTATATTACATTACTGTAATGATATAAGCATTTTCAGTTCTGTTGTATTGCAGATATATTGAATTATTATCTGCATTATTATCTTGCCTAATACGGTGATTGGATTGGGAGGGTTCCTCCCTGCACTGTTTTCTAACAAGACTGCTTTGCACATATAATGAGACACTAAACAATAACATTTACTTATCAATGAAGGTTCTCAGAAGAATGAATCAGCTGCCTACACCACCAGAGTGCATCACAAATCACCCTGGCTTTCATTCCAACTGCCTGAATGTGTACATCCTTCAAAATATCTACAATGTATACAAATCTAAATATGGAAGAATCCACAGAAGATTAAGAGAGGAGTATGTATTTAAAATGTGGCAGTATACTTTTGCGTCAAAACAAATGTCCATATAAACCAAGATTGTGCTATTTACAATATTTTGTCTTCTCTTAACAGACGGTATCAATTTGTGGCCCAGTGCAGCATTGTAAGCTGGTGCTGGGGAGTCTTTGGATCTCGGATTAGAGTGGCGCTCCCATCGTGTGCAGTTCTGAGAATTCAGCAGGAGTTTCCAGATCCTGGTGGGAATAATGTGGCTTTACAGCCTGGAAACTTTGTCCCACCCTTGGATTAAGCTGTGAGATTTGAGCTGCCACGATGTCACTCCACCAGGTCCTTGATACAATCTGTTAGATATGTTTCATTCATTATTAGTTCAAGGTCAAGATATAGTGCCTCTGTTCAAGTTCAGTTTTTATTATTATAGTTATTTTTTATTTATTTGTGAAATAAACATTCTCACCAAATCTGGCTTTCATTGACCTTGCTGTTGGCTGCTTTTTTTTTTTTTGGTATTGTATGAATCTGAATAAGTTTCTTGTTCTCATTATGGTGTTCTCAGCAATGAATGCAGCCAGAGAAAGAGCCTTCTCGAGTCTGACACCACCTGAACTTTTCCACATCTTCATGCTACGACCACTGACATGTTGGATCTTTTTTTTTTGTCAAAACCAACACAAAGTTAGAGACAATTGTGAAGTGAATTGACTTAATTTCCGTTTCTTCCTCACTAATAGTACTTTTGAAATGCATCTTAAAAATAAATGGAAGTAACTTTCCAAGACGATTAAAATGTCATGTTTGATTTCTTATAGTGGTTTATTCAAATGTGTTCGCCTTTAACGTAGTATTTTACTTCTACATAGACCCCGCGATGGAGTAGCCTGGTCTTGCCACACCATAGTAAATATTTAATTTCGTACATGAAGGGAAATAATAATTGAGCGGAGTTTATGTAGACATGTGATGGAGAGTTGTTTTTAGATGTATCTTGGAGCGGAAGCTGTTTTCCAGCTGGCGGAAGTTTGACTAACCTTCCTTTGAAAGCAGACTGCTACTTGTTATCGTATGTGGTTGGTCTAATAATAATATAATATATACATAATGTATTATATACGTTTTAATTCTTTGTTACACAGCAAGCTGAAAGCGTGAAGTGTTGAAGTGGTGGACAAAGCCTCAGTCATGCAGCAGCCCCAAACGTCAGAAGTAGACGCCGAGGTTTCTTGTGAAAAGTGTTACATTTGCCTCGGTCCTTTTGAGGAACAATCTGTGGGCTCTCTTGAAAAATGTCAACATCAGTTTTGCCTGGAGTGTATCGTCCAGTGGTCCAAGGTATGTGTGCATGTGTGTCCTGTACACTCTCCCTGTTTGTGGATAAAAGCAGTGGTCAGTGAAGAAGGCTTTCTGAAGTTACAGTACGAATAGTTTATATGCAAAAACAGATAAGTACCATGGAAACATATCGGAAAAAGCTTACAATTTTCTCTTTACCGTAGTAGTTTTGTGAAAAGGCAGATGTATTTTAGTGCCACTCAAGTTTCAACTTCCTTTGTGCTGCCATTAACAGAACATGTTGAAGATTGTAAATAGAGGAATACAATATTTGGACACAATTTCAAAAACGGAGACATCTGTTTTGTATATGAACAGTTCTTTTGTTTTTTGTGTTGATGAATAGACCTCTAACACTTGCCCTGTGGATCGAACGGATTTCACTGAGATCCAGCAGAGAAGGCGGATTGGAGGAGCCATCCAAAAGAAGGTACCAAATTCAATGTACTACTTATATTTGAAAACATGTTGGTCATTTGCACTATCACAACCTGTCACAATAACTATACTACCCATGGCTGAAATATTACAAATATATTGAAATTAGGACAATCGCAATAAACGCATAAGAATGACCCACTCAACACATACATGTTTTGTTGCATTACAAAGAGAATCTCGTACTCCATTTATGATGATACCACCATATTACCCCGCGCCTGCAACACTAGCATAATTGTTTTGGTACGACGTGTGATACTCTAAAAGCACAGTCCTTGTCTATGCAAATTGTTTACTGACAATGGCATTCAAACTGATATTTTCAATTGCTCATGATCTTTGCGGTTTTCATGTTTTCTTCTGCAGATCAAAGTTACTCCCCCAAGGCAAGAGCCGGACGAGCAGAGTTTAGCTGTGATCTGTGAAAACTGTGGACGCAGCGACCGCAGGAACACAATGCTGCTGTGCTCCCACTGTGACTCTGGGTAAGACATCACTGTGCAGAAGAAATACAAACATAAATCCTGTGTGGTTATAGTATCTCATACCTTTTCCAACAGGTTTCATATGAACTGTCTGAGGCCTGCAGTCACCCAACTCCCAGAAGGCCTCTGGGTCTGTCCGGAATGTGAAGTTGTACAGAATCAGCCTGGTGAGAAACATGATTATGTTTTAGTTTTAACTGTTGTAGGGCTGACAACCTTTTTTGTCAACCCTACAACAATTAAAACTAAAACTTTCATCAGGTGGAAAGGAATTGGCTATTTGTATTTCTTGATTTGTGTCTTCTGTAGAGAGTTTTGCTGCAGCGGAGGGCATCAGTGATGGAGAGTTGGAGGACATTTTGTCCGACGCTGACGAAACAACCAGTCGATTTCGACCCTCGACCCACAACTCAAGATCTACTCGACACAGTGACCGAGTCCAGACTAGATCCAACAGAGACCTGACTGCCCCACAGGCCATAACGGTAAACCACAGAAACTATTTTAAAGATGACATATTGTGCTTTGATATTTCTATGTGCGTGTCCTCCTCTGGGGAAAATGTACATTATAATTATTGAAATTAGCTAAAATAACACGGTACATTGTACACGTTTGGTAGGGTAGGAGAAACTGGAGCACCAGGAAGAAAACCTACGCAGACACGGGGAGAACATGCACCGTTCACTCAGAAAGGCCCCATTTCAACCGAGATTCTCACCCAGTACCTTCTTGCTGAGAAGCGAGAGTGCTATCCACTCAGCCGCCTGTTAATTAAATCACTTATGTTTCAGAAGGAGATTCTCTTGAGAAACCGAAAGCAGGGCTTGTGCTTCACAGCAAAAAGGTCATGGGTTTGACTTTACCTTCAGACCTTTTCTGTGTGGAGTTTGCATGTTTACACTGTGTCTGAGTAAGTTTCCTCCAGGTGCTCCAGTTTCCCCTTCCACTGAAACCGTGTACGATGATAATGAATGTAATGAGAACGTGAAGTATGGTGATTGTCAGGGAATTTGATGCGCCAGGTAGTTTTGTTACCTTGGTCTTTGAAATGTGCTTTATAGATAAATATTATACTTACTTACTCAACTGTAAAATCACTAAAATTACTGTCAATTGAAAAAAATAACACATTTCAATTGAGGCAAGTTCGTAGGTGTATGAATTTGACATGAACATAAATACCCTTTTCTTTTATTTCCTGTCTTTTCCAGCAAGTTCCTAAGTATTTGTTACAGCCATCAAGTTTAGACGCAACAACCTGTCTAACTCCTAGTGGCAGTACAAGTGTCTCGGATGGTAAACAAAAATTCTATATTTGTGGCATGATGTATATACTTTTTCTTTTTTCACTGATTTGTCCTGTCTTTGATTCTTTCAGACACAGCACAGAGAAACAAAAGGAAACATGAGACACACTGAGTCGTAGCTTATAATGGCCACTAGATGGAGACACCTCTCTACTAATGCTTATAGTCTGGGATTTGGTCAGAATCATAGACTGTAAATAGAATACATTTCCGTCTAATTTAGTGTTTTTGATCTTGTTCCAAACATTAGAACCTTACATGAAAATACTGTTTGTATATGAGACACTGAACGTTTTTCACAGGTTGATAATATTGTATTTAGCTAATGTTTTTTTACTCTAGGCTTTTATCAATGTAACACATGATTTTGTATTTCCTTCATTTCCAGTTTTGTAATGCATTTGATATTTTTAAATGGAAGCTTTAACAATGCTAATGTGGTGTTTCGTGTGTGGTATTTCTTGGTCTTTTCCTCCGCCACAATTTAAGTTAATATACTTTGCAACTGGCATACAAACACACACAAATCTGTCATAATTTAAAGAATCTGTCATAATATATAGTAATTAATAGATTAGCTGATTGGACAACACAATATTCAGAGCCTATGTTAAGTAAATGTATTAAAGATCAGATTTGAGGTGCTTCTTTCTTTGGGATAACTCAACCTCGACCTACAGAAACTACAAGAAAAGTTTCTGTCGCTGCTTAAATTATGTCATTGTTTATACATAACTTTAAAGCTAATTTCCCAAGAAAACCTCCAATATTCATTTGTTCTAACATTTGAACCAAACCAAGTGAAATGTAAAATATGAAAATAAATAGCTTGCCCATCAGTCTTCAATTACATAACTTTATATTTGTCCCTGTTTTGTCTAATCTAAAACGGTAAACACATTTTGTTCAGAAAAATCTACCAGAGAAAAATTTTCAAAATCAAAGTCAAAATACCTTCATAATGTAAGAATATTGAAATAAATCCACTTTTATACTTTTAGTCCTTTTAATTTAGCCCCTGCCCAAAATGAGTTATACATCCCTGGTGTAGCTTATATTCTGAAGTCACATGCATCGCACTGTAAGATAAAACTCATCTAATAGGGTTAAAAAATGAAAAACTAAAGAAAAAAGTGAAATATATATATATCCGCTTGCAACAGGGACCAAAGAGAGGCAGTCATTCTGTTGGGAATATTCCGGGAAGTGATATTTGCGGAGTAGTTAGTATTCCCTTCACTGTATTCGGTGAGCATCTATAGGCTCCGCTCACTTGTGTTCTGTGGGCGGGCGTTGGGAAAAGCCTGCAGCTCATCTTGTCCTACTTTCCCTAAAACAATGCACAGATATGTAAACGTTCACCTTCACTCAGAATGCTCATCTGTAAACCATGAAATCTCCAAACCGATCCTTACAACTGGTTACACCGTTTAATTAATATTTTCTTCGTTTATCTGTAAACAAGATTAAACTTGTCCATGAAAGACACAATCTTTAAATCATATGGTTGAATTTCGAGTTGAATCAATTTTTGGTTCGGTGCCAATTTACATTAAAGCAACAATGGTTGCGCTTACCTAACTGTACTTAAAAAATAAATATAGACAGTATATCACATCTGTTAAACTCAAACACATCAGACATCGCTTAGAACCTTTGCATACTTAAGAAAGAACCCTGTGAGTCACTATTTGTAGCTTTGGGGGCAGAGAGTGGATTGACTGATCCAGGCTGGTCAGTCAACTTATCTGTTGATTTCACTTATTTTCACTTATCTGTTAAGCTGATATAAAAACTGGTGGTAGAACCAAATTGCTGGGAGTAAGGATAGATCTTATTACATTGATCAATTTGTATGGTTTGAAAGTTGGGTACCACAGCTGTATCCCAAAATAGCTATATCTTTATTCTCACATAGACATATTTACTACTTTACTTTCCCATAACTCATTCTGTCTTGTTCACTCATAGCAGGTGTAGAATTACTGAACTGTTTATTCATTGAAAGGAGCTCTGCTTCCATCCATCCATTTACTTCCCCTTAATCAATTTCTGGGTCGGGGGGTGGCAGTCAGATCTGCACCCAATACATAGAGCACCAGCCCCTCATTGATCCTCCTGCAGGTGGTGAGTCCACAGGAGGAGCAGGAGGAGCTCTGCTTATTCAAAAAAATAAAAAATAAAAACATCTTTCCTATTTCTTTAACCGTCCTCTAAAGGTTTAGTCCCAGCCCTGCATACACCACGTCACTTCACCAGACAAGTGAAAGAACAGCAGAGAATACTGTTGCAAAGAAAGAATTCCAAACTCAAAAACTACAGGAGACATCCGCTTGTTCTAGTTGCTTTCCTCTCGGCTAGTATTATTGTGACGTTTCCAAATCCCCCATGTTGTCTTGGAGTGTGAATGTTATTGGATCATGAGTGAAATTGGATAGGGTGAAAAATGCAAGAATCGAAATTCTACTTTGAAGACTATGACCAAGGAATACAGTTGCAGCAAGGATAAGGTACATTTCTCATCCTATTTTAGCAGTTATTAATGTTGTCACTAATTTATAACCATTCTGATATTGACACAATAACTAGTATTTTATACGTGGATAAGTACTGTAGTTTTGAAGAGAACAGAGCTGGCTGTAAAGTGAGGGGCTCCTTGGGCAATTAGACATAAGGGATTATAGCGGAAAGACTGTAGAGGTCAGAACAACAGTCACTGCTTCAAAGTGCTTATAAGATTAAAACAGAGGGCATATGATTCTGAATTACATTTTGGTCCCATAGGCTGGACTCATTATGTACAGTATAAAGGCATATTGGGACCTAGTATCTCTATGTATACTGAAATTCTTCAATGGATATTTTGACAGACATATATAGGTAACTAATGGCAGCAATTATTCATCGCAGAATGAATCCACTGCAAGCAATTTAGGATGGATTTCAGTTCAAACATTAAAATACTGTATGTTCTGGCTCACCAACAAGAAAGAGTGATTATAAAGGTCCAACAAGAATATTGGTGGATTAGTTATATCAGAATCTAATACACTTTATTTAAAAGATTGAATTGAATTAGAATTTATGTATAGTCCTAATGCTAACGTTTATTGAGCTGTGGACATAGTCTGGAGAGAAATGCATGTGTGAGAGTACTGGTTTTATTGATATGATTGTTGAATAAACTAAATAATACTCAGGGTTCAAAACATCTGTTCTTTACTTTCATTTCAATAAAAAAAACGAACAGTCTGAGGAGCCACGTCCTTTTGAATGCAGGTGAAAGCAGATTATATCAAACCTGCACAGATCTAAAAACAAAGTGGCCTATATTTACCAGTGCAGCAGTGATCAGCGCCCCATTAGATTGAAACTAACCGATTCATCATGCATATTTAAATACAAGTAAGCTCTCTAATATAGCACAGTGGTTGTACATTATGTTTTTTTCTGGAATTATGTCGTACTGTAGAACACACTGGCGTTAAGTTTATGGAGATGCAGTAATGAGGGACGTTTTTAAGTGATTTGATGTATTTTGTTCTTAAAAAATGTACAGTTGGGTATCATGAGAGTTGAAAGTTATTATAACATGGTAATATGATTTTGCTTATGTCACCGCATTTCAATCTCACAGATACTCTTTTATTATTTGTGCTGCAATGAACACTCACAAACCCATGCACCCCCAGCTCTGATTAAACCGCAGTCTTGTGTCAGACTAAAGAGGGGAGCGTATCGTGAAAGTAGGTCATCCTCCCGGAGACCCATGCAGCCATCTCTTCTCTTTCCTCACGATTCCACGCTGCAGCGGCGCATGTGTCTGCTCTGAGTCCAAACACAAGTCGACAGCAAAGGCAAAGCTGTATCTGCTCATGCCACCAAGCCGCTGTGGTGGAAACAAGTGCACAGAGAAGGCTGGGATGATGGAGATGACATATTTGCTCCTACTGTACCAATATTAGGCCATCCAAAAGGAATTTAAGATAAGATAAGACATTTATAATTGTGAGCAGAAGATGGGAACATGGCACTACAATTTTTGGGATTTTGTAAACGGAAACTATAAAATAGATCCAAACTGGGATACAAACACATTCCTGTCAAAATGTGCTGGGATGTACCAATACGATACTGGCATTGGATAATGGTGCGGATATTGGGGAAAAGTTATGATCGGGAATCAGTTCTCCGTTATTGGTTAAGCTGATATCTTTGGGCTTTTCAATTTATATAATGAGACAATTGATGATTAACCCAGAACGTCACAGTAAGTTTAACCAAACAAGTTCTTCTGTCATTTCCTCAGGAGACTGCAAACATTTACAATAGTATGTTTAGTTTTGCTTCATGTCCTCTTCCCCTGTTGATTTGTCTGCCCGAATGTGTTTCACCTGTGTCTCTCTGTGTCTATACAGTATGTACCTGTGCTCATCCCCACTTGCTGCTGGTCCATTGTCTTTGCTTGTCTTTGCCTGTTTTCCTGGTTCTTCTGTTTCATTTGGATGTTTGAGTTTTCCTGCTTTTTGGGTCCTCCATCTTACCACATGACAATAACAGGTGTTTTCGTTCTTCACACCCGTATCGAACAGTGGTAAAACTCAGCGTCTTGTTTTGACCCATGTTGGCTTTTCACCACAGGGAAGACAGGATCATGTCAAAGTAAAAAGGTCAAACTAAAAAAGTCTTCTAAAGTCACAACGCAGTGCACCCAGGACCAGACGGATTCACATTAAAATGGACTACGGAAAGCTTGTCATCCATAAGGAGCAACAGACAAGAGCTTTATACAGAAAAGAGCAGAAAAGCCCAAACTTTTCAGATGAGAGTCTTATAAAACTTATGCTGTAAATATTCATTGAGTATATGCATTGAACATAGTGTCAACCCATGTGTAAGTGGCCACATGGGATTTAGGGCGAAAGATCCGTGTTTTTTCTCAGTGCGAAGGAGTCTAAAAAATAACTCAAACAATATAAATGACGCAAGTTGTGCCCATTTTTTAATAGCTGTGATTTGAAGGAGGAAAAAAGCTATTGCAAGTCTATTGATATTGGTTCATAACGAGATTCATCAGATATCAAAAGCCAAAGTATCGTTGGCAGTGAAGCCATTGAGTTTGAAGTTACTTTTCAAACTCAATGTTAATGTTAAGGAAAAGAATCTGCAACACCAAACTTTCCATTGAACTTGGAGTCTGTTTGGTGAGTGCACCACGCTTCTATGTTGAATCAGCCGTTGAGAATAAAATTTCTGTGTACGTTTCTCCACAAGTCTGCACTTTGAAATCTGCCGAGTGCTGAGTCCGCTGCTTAGCAATGTGGAGGAGGCTTTGATCTCACATCAGAAAATGAGCTGCAAAAAGGACGAGGACTGAGGCTAAAAATGTGCTCTTAATGCATTTTTAAACCTGAATGCATAAAACGATATTGAGCCATGTTCAGAGCCAGCTACAATCTGGAAAAATGAACAAAGAAGTGTTGAAGAAATAAGCACAAATCTTGAATCTTGTGCTACATTGCTGTAAAAACAGGTATTTTAAAACTTGCATTGTTTTACAGAACTTTATCTACTACCTTGCATAATTTGCAGCAGAGTGTTAAACTGCTGGGATTAATTGCAGCACATTCATGGTTCTCAACCAGAAAAATGTTGCTTTGAAAGGTTCCTCCTTGAGCAGTTCTTGGGGCCTTGTTCATGATTGAGGGAAGAATGCAAAGACTTGTTCAGGACTCCCTTGAAAAGAGGTTTTTAATCTCAATCTCTGGTAAGTTAAATGTTAAATAAAAAAACTTGCATCGTGCAGTGATGCGATTGCTCTATGGGACCCTTGTGGTGAAGAGGAGCATCGTCTGCAGTCAGAGCTGTATCGGACTGTGGTGGTCAAGAGGGAGCTGAGTCAAAGGCAAAGCTCTTGATGTACTGCAGTCTGGTAAACATGATCTATGGGTGTAAAAAACACCTTTATGTCTTCTTTTATACTTAAGACTTAGAAAGTAATTTTGATAAGACAAAAGTGTAAAGAAGTTAGTGTTGCTTAATGACCTGACATGTTAGACTTCCACAAGGCTATGGTTTTATTAAAATAACTTTTTAAACCTATGATTTTTGGGTAATGACCAAAACGACAAGTTGTAAACATAAGAAGGAAGGCTCCTCACACTTGTCTGGAGCTCAGTCACACAGGAGGAGCTCGGAGTAGAGTCGCTGCTTCTCGAAGGGAGCCCGTTGAGGCGACTCCCTGAGGACGGGCATATCCCTCTGGGAGGAGACCCTGAGGAAGGTGTGTTTGGAAGTTGATAAGACCTCATGGTTTGGTTTTTCTAATCCTTGTGTATTTTTCAAATTAGTTTAAACATTATTGCGGTGAATACAGGAAATGCCAACTACCACCTGAAAACTTATATTGGCCAGACTCTTGTTTTACACTTACACCATGATATCTTATTACAGGTGCCATATTGGAGGGCAGTATTTAGGTCAATGACAATATAGTGAGATGATCTCAGAGGGATCAGTTCCATTCATAGTCCAGTCTGCGTACAAAGGAACAATGGTGCTCCACGAAAGCCTGCAGTGAAATCCCAGCCCTCCTCTTCCTGCTTTCCCATATCCTGTGAATTAATAATAGAATTTGCTAGGAAGTGCAATGCTTAAGATAGCCTCATTTATATTCTGTAACACTGCCAAGCGCTCATGCACGTGTAACCAAGGTGTAGCTAATGCATTGTTTTGGCAGACGGCCACCAATGTCCTCAACTGAATTTATCCTGGTGAGAATTTCACTGTGTAGCCAAGATCATCATAATCTGGGGCAAGTTGCCGTTTATTATTTTTATTATTGTTTTGTAAAATGCAGCTCTGAGTAACACTAATACTTTTCTCACCAATAACAAATGAATGGGACTATAATGAAAAGGTGACTTGACATAGAATTATTTAGGTCAGAGAAAATATCGTTTATACACTGATTGTGTCATGAGCGGTCCAAATGGTGATCTGTATAGAAGGTTTGGATAAACACACGGTTTTATGCTGGCTGATCTTGGATTGTTAAATACAAATCAAAAATCACATGAAAAAAAAAATAAGCATTGGAAACTAAGTTACCTTGAGAACCACTGAGGAGCTGTCTTCAGGAGAGGCTGTTGCATTTTACCGCAGAATGGAAGTGCCTTGTCAATCTTTCAACTATTACCCCAGGTAGTTCCCCATTACAAAATATTTCAGTTTATTGTAATGCTCTATAATAGACATCCACCCACCTATGTGACTTAAGACTGGTTAAAATGTAACAATATAAGATATACTCTTCATTCACCACAGTTTGAAAACCATTACTATATCTCTCTATATTCAGAGGAATGAGCCAGTTTTGTGCTGGAAAAGCGCTCATCGCCCAGACATTCAAATAAACGGTAATCTACGTCAGAGTTCTCGTGCAGAATACTAAACAGTGACAGCCTTCACGTACAGACGGACATAACATACACACAGTTTTACATGTAGATTTCTGTAACAAGTGAAGATTTTTAAATGGAAATATATTTAAAATGTTCTCAATATGAACTCATGAGCAAATGAAGTTGAGGCACACTCGAGGATATGGTTGTTTTACTGTCTTCACCGTGCAAAGACGGAGGGAAGCTCTCATTTCTAATCTTGCGTGCGGTTCTTGAACGCATCACTGGGTCTCCAGTACAGTGAGGGGCTCGTCTCATCAGACCAGTGCGAGAGAGCGGGAAGAAACACCGCACTGCTGCAGCCTCGGATCTTCCACCTATAGGATAACTCCCCATAAACTCACCATTTTCACCATTCTCTGACATGAACTCTACATTCTGAATCGTTTTTGAGACTTTACACCTTTGCAAGATGACGGTGGATTTTGAAGACTGCATCAAGGATTCCCCCCACTTTCGGTAAGAGAAACTTACTTTATTTTTGCTTTATTCGTACCACGTTTTCTCACGGCTTCTCTTGAGTAAAAGTGTTGATCCAAAGACTGGACACGTGCTGTCCAGTGTGTTTGTCCTAATACGTGTTGCGCTCCGGGATTATCGCCGGCTTCATCCATTGAATAGTATCTCTCTGTGTATGGATTACGATCACGTTTTGATGTATTAAAGTTTTCTGCCCCGTTTTCCATTTGTGTTAAAGCTGTCATTATTAATCGAAACGGACGAGCCACGCACCCGGGCTGCTGTCACATGGATGCAGAGCGCCACATCAAAGTCATGTGTTCCGAATGATTCAGCCATGCGCTTTATCCATCTCCAACTGGGACCATTCAGCTCGTTATGTGGGGACCAGTCAAACTCACGAATTTTGGTTTTTAACGAATAGCCTTCCTGATACTGTTTTAGATTTCAATTTCATTATTTGAATAGTATTTATTATGATTATGATTATTATGAGTAAAAATAAATCTGATCTGGCTCCTGGCTGAATTCCAGAAACCACGTCTATTAGAAGTAACTGTGGTTTTCAGTTTCAAATGGACTTTAATCACATGTATTTGCACTAGTCTCTTTGAACTTGTAATATAGTTTAGAAACGAGCCTACACATTTCCAATGCTTTTTCACCAATCTAAAAGTGGCCTAATTCACTAATAATATTCTGTGTCAAAGCTTGTTTAAAGAAAAAAAAAAAGGCACATTTTGTTAGGAATAGTGCAGTATTTTTTATTGCACAGTTCTAATGAATAGCCAAATGAATGACAAACATTATATAGATGTTCTATAGCCGCTATACAGTCTTTACATTACTATTGTTGAAATGGGGACATCCCGAAAAGGGTGCTTTCATTGCCCATAGTCTATTCGCTGGGGCCTGGTTGTGGCTGAATTGGTTCAATTTGTAACTGGCTGCCTTTGTGTCGTTGGACAAGACACTTCCAACCCTAATTGTCTGCATACATGAATGAATAAGAAGATGTGAGGGTGAATTGGGTTCCTTTATGCACCATGGATTGAGTATTGAATAGCAAATTTTGTGGCTTGCTTGGGTCATTACTGTATTAATTTGACACTACAAATACTAGAACACGTGTTCCTTTTATAACAAATAATCTGGCACCAATCAAAATGTCACAAAAGTCTGAACAGTTTCAAATTTGTATCTATAACATAATTATCTTCGACAAGCCATCAAGCAAGTCAAAAACCTTGAGTTGCCCTGAGCTAGCCGTGTGTAGACCATCAATGAATGTATGCATAATGTGACATAAAACTACTCTAGTACAGTTTATTCCTTAGTGACCTCAGCCTTGCCCCTATAACCTCCATGACTGTAGTGTAATCTCTCCCCACAGATGTATCTGATTGAAGCGGTGTCACCACTCGCATATGGACCAAACCAAAACGTGTGTGACGGCTGCTCCCGGGTTACATAAATAAGACAGGAATTTGTACCCCGCCTCCCCCCAAAACCTCTCCCTCCTCCCACACTCAGTCAGGGTGCAAGAGCAGCAATTTACTCCTTACTTTATTAACTAGTAATTATCATAGTGCAGTTGGCAAGTATACATTTTCTGCTTAAAATTGGACTTGTATGGTTAAAGCGTTGTTAAATTACTGCATGTAGCTTTTGCAATTATCTTAGTTTAGTTTAGTTTAGTTGTTATTGTTGCATACACAATCTATGCTTGGAAATTTGTATGTTGTTTATACTAAGCGTGGTTACCGCTATTTATTCTCTATATAGATACATTCTTTCCTAATCCTAAGGGAATTTGCGGCGTCCGTCGATCACATTCACCTTGAATAGAAGACTGCTGTAATACGAGGTGCCACAGTGGGGCAGCTGTGTTTCTAAAGTTGTGCCCTTTGGCAATACACTTAACCCACATTGCCATAGAAGGCCTCTGATGGTGAACTTGTGTTTTTTTTGGTTTTTGGTTCTCTGTTGGAATGGTGAACGTATTGATGATGACTTTTCCTTGTGGAAGACGATACAAGAATTGTCTTCTTATTGTGTCTCGATATGAATCTGGTGTAAGAGAATGGTTTGTGGTCGGTGCAGATTGGCAGGCCTGCTCCTGTCACTCTGCTCCAGGGCTACAATAGAAATTTACCACCACTACTTTGTTTGTTTCTTTAACTTCTAAAGTCTAAAGTCAGAAGTTTATGGTTATATTATCAAAGTGGAGCCATGAGGTGACCATTGACAGCTTACTAATTAATTCATCTTTAGAGAATAGACCTGATTTAGCGTTGGGTATCAGATTGGCCTCTCGGTTACATGAAGACGGTGTTTCAGGGGCGTGAAAACGCAAGCGTTGAGAAACAGCCTCCTGAGTGGAACAGAACAGATACGCTGAGCAGCGGGGGTTGTTTCACAGCAGTGTGAAGAAAAAGTTGTAAATTCTCTGGCTGCAATGACCTCACCACTTCCCCGCACGTACATTTGGACATGCACATTAGCCGAGAACAAATGTAAAGAGCAATGGCGACGGATCAACTAAGGCTATGTAAGCTTTGAGCGCTACACAGAGGAGAATTTAACTCCTTTGTTTAAACAAAACCACACAAAGCTGTTGTTTCAGGTTCCCTTTTTGCTGTTATTGTTAAATGCAGAATGATGTTGCATTCTTTCCACGTTGTTAAGGAAGTGATTATAATGGTGGTGGAATTCCTGTTGTGTTGTAAAGTTCCACTGCCCCCTTCTTGCCAGGCTGTAGAACTACATTGTTTTCCGTCGTCATGTAGACCCTGCGCACTTCGAATAAGGAGCCTGGTCGTTGTTGCTAATTGCTTTGCAGCGTTTCCTCAGCGTCTCCGTCTAAACAGGGCCTTATTTTGAGGCAGTATTTCTATAAAATTTAACACTTTTTCTCAGCACCTTTGCTGAGTCCCTTCTCTTTCCACCTCTCCGTGAAGCCTGAGTGTTTACTTTGTACAGATAGGATCTTCTTTCAAAACAAAGACTTCCAGCAGCAGCAGCAGCAGCAGCAACCCAGGCCATGTGGCTCTGACTGGAATCTGCCCAAGCACAAGACTACTGCACACTCTATATGTTAAATATGAAAATCAGGTTTCAAGAAAGATACATGTCACAACAAGACAATTTCCACTTTGGCTTCACACCTGCCTTTTCTTTTTTTTTCCTTTTAAAAAAAAAATCTGAAACGTATGTTGGTCATGTATTTAGCTGCTGTAATCAAATTCACCTGGAAAACCTATTGAATCTGTTCTCAATTGTACTTTGTCAGAAAGTTATAATAATTAATAATGCCAGGAATCTGCACATTTTGGCCGTGTGAATACCTTTATTTTTTTTTTACTGACGCAAGTTGCCAAGTTCAACAACTTTCTCTTAAAGCTGCACCAACTGACTTTGAGACATTTTTGAATGAGAACGATGAGCTCGCTCTCTCTGCTCAACCCTCCCCGTCCCCCTCAGCCTCTGCTCATGCTCACTGTTTACAGAGCTCACGTCTCACAATATGGACACATTTGAGCGTGGATGGCGCGACCATAGAACAATAGAACCGGGAAGCGCGGAGGAACAAGACTTTCTTTTGGATGGCTGTTTCGCTGAGTAAGCAGTAACCGGTAACGAAGACACGGGAATCTTCAGGTTAGCCTCTGCTAACCTGCAGCTTTCTGTGCAAACGAGAGGCCTGTAGCTTTTCTCAAGAAAGTGGGGGCCAGTGGTCCGCTGTGATTGGTCACAATCGGGACCCGAAACACATTCTCTTCCTTGTTTCACAAAAAAACTAGATCTAATATTAAATGACACGCCAGCACAAATCTGTGCAACTTTTTCTTCAAAAGATCAGATTCAGATTCAGTTTATTTGCCATTTGCAGTAAAAAAACCACATTGGAATACATTAGCAAAAGTCTCCAGTGTGCACAGACAAATACAGACATAGAACAACATTAAAAGACAAAAATAAAACAAATAAAACAGTAAACAAATATCACTGTGAAATCGATCGACTAAAACAGTTTCAAAACAAGTGCAAATCATTAAAGTGCTCTGTTCACACTGATCACAGCTTGTGGATAAAAACTGTCAGCGTAACGAGATGTCCTGCATCTCAGAGAGCGATATCTTCTGCCAGAGGGAAGAAGCTGGAACATGGCTTTCCCAGGGTGGCCAGAAGAGTCATTGACAATCCTAAGAGCTTTGTTTAAAAGTCTGGATTTATAAAGAACCTCCAGAACAGGAAGCTCACAGCCCACGGTCCTCTTTGCAGAGCGGAGCACCTTGTTTAAAGCTCTCTTTTCTTTATCTGTGATGTTTCCAAACCAACAAATAAGCTCTCAATGGTGCAGCGATAAAAGTTAAGCGGAATCTTAGAGTTAGTGGTAAATTCTCTAAGTTTACGCAGAAAGTAGAGACGCTGACGAGCTTTCTTAACGACTCGGTCAGTGTTTTTAACCCATTTCAGGTCGTTAGACAGAGTTAAACCCAGAAACTTGCACTCCTCTACAATCTGCACCTGGGAGTTGTCGATTACGACAGGCAAATGAGAACTATTGCGACTGAAGTCGTAGACCAGTTCACATGTTTTCGATGCGTTCAACTGGAGGTTGTTAGCTTTACTCCACTGAACCACATTTTGTATCTCCGCTCTATAAGAGGATTCATCATTGTTACTGATGAGACCGATGATGGTGGTGTCATCAGCATATTTAATGATCAAGTTTGAGTCAGCGGAAGACACACAATCGTGAGTGTACAAAGTAAAAAGCAAAGGACTCAAAATACATCCCTGAGGAGAACCAGTGCTCACAGAAACAACATCAGAAAAACAGTCATTGATTTTCACTCTCTGAGATCTGTCAGTAAAAAGCTAAAAATCCATTTACACATGGCAACACTTAAACCGAGAGACATGAGCTTTTCAATCAGTTTACCTGGGACAAGGCAGTTAAAAGCAGAGTTATAATCGATGAAAAGCATTCTCGC